GTAATAATTTCACTTTTTTGTACATAAGAAATATAATTTGAATACAATGTCAAATGAAATGTTGTACAATATTTACTGAAGAACTAAAGGGCGTTTGTTATAAAGTTTGTTTATAAGGTTTAAAGCAGTTATCGATAAGATAAGACAAGACCCTACAAGTTGAGTAATTCCATTGAAAATTGTTGTTGGTGGGCATACTTCGTTTATGCAGCAAAGATCTAAACTATGCCCATGAATTCATTCTTTCGGTGTGGCAGTACAGCAGGGTTGCTCCGACTATGCAATCGTATCTGTGCTTTCATTTTTGGGAAAAATTGTACTGGCCAAAATGACTGGGAGGTGGTTGGGGTGGGGGATCGCGAAAAAAATATTGGTATGGTATTTTTATTCCGGATTTCAGATTACATGGATATTTGTTACACCTACAATAAATTAAAGTGAAACAAAAAATAAAAGTGACTTATTTCATAAATACTTAAGAAAACCCCCTGAATTCATTACTAGTATTATTTTTCATGTTATTTTTTGGTGGATATAATTATTCCAGCAGTACTATTGTTGGTTTTACAGTTGGTTGAATAATTCTGGTAGTATTATTTTTAATTTGTAGATTTTTTTTTTCATTTGGTGGTACAGTTATTCCTTCAAAGTATCTTGTTTTAGGTTTAGCGGTGAGTAGAAAATGGCAACTACATGTAGTGTCAACAGAAAAAAACAAATATGTTTTGGAGTTTATCAAGATATTCAGCTTTTGAGAGAAGTGACATCAGAAAACCAATTTGAAAATACTAATGGATGGCTAAATGTAGCAGAGGCCTTGCAGTCAGGGGGATTACATATCGATGCCAGAAGAGCAAGAGAGAGGACTAAATTACTGCTGGAGTATTTTCAAAAAGACAACATGGAAAATCTACGCAAGTATGGGTTTTTTAAAATATTTATGCTATAGTGCTACTTGAATTTTACAACCAACTTGAATGTATTTGCGTCTTGTTTAATCATTCTGATTCTAATTTTTTAGTAGCCATATGTATAAAAAACAGGCCAGATCAAAATCTAGTCCAGATCCTCAATGGATCTTTGCATTATTTACATGATAATGAGCATGTTAATTGGTTAAGTAATTTAGAGGTGAGCTGCCAATTTGTTGGGCTGGCGTGTGTAATTACGTAGTGCATGTTATAGGTTAGTAAGAAAACATCTGGTGATGATGCTTTTTAAATATAGCGCTAGTAAACGTAAGTCAGATGAAGAAACAGCACCGCAAGATTCNGAGCATGTTAATTGGTTAAGTAATTTAGAGGTGAGCTGCCAATTTGTTGGGCTGGCGTGTGTAATTACGTAGTGCATGTTATAGGTTAGTAAGAAAACATCTGGTGATGATGCTTTTTAAATATAGCGCTAGTAAACGTAAGTCAGATGAAGAAACAGCACCGCAAGATTCATCCCCTGTTAAGAAGCCAAAACAGGCAAAACGGGAGAAAAAGTTCCAACAAAAATGGACCAATGAGTTCGACTGGTTAAGGTTTGACTCGGGGGGGAAAATGTTTTGCAAGTCGTGCGAGGCAGCTAGCAAGTCAAGTAAGTCTCTGTCTTCAAATGCATTTGTGAAGCGATGATCACGCACTGTCCAAAAAACTTCAGACTCAAAAGCGCTATATGTCGGCTGCTCGAAAGTGTGTTTCTCAGTCGTATATGCCAATTTTAGAGGCCCAGATCTCAACGACAATGTGGCTTGCTGAATAAAACCTCCCAAACCGAAAATATTTGAAACTCATTGACCTTCAACTTGCAAACAGTGCCTCTGTTTTTTCAAATAAGAAAGGCATATATACAAACCACCAAGCCCCAGCTAACTTTCAAAAGTACATTGCCGATGTGCTAAAAGAAACTGCTTTGGTTCCTATCAGAGATAGTCCATTTATTGGAATTATGACAGACGAAAGTCTTGACATTGCTACCAATAAAAAAATTGATCATGTTTTGCAGAATAATTCGTAATGGGGAACTAAGAGTTGAATTTTGTGCAAACATTTCAATTGCAGATGGTAAGGCTGACACCCTGTATAACAGCATACTGAATTGGTTGCAGGAAATTGGTTTGGGAATTAAT